CTCAGGGCAATTTTAAAACCAGCTTAGCCAGTGCTCGAAGCTGCATCATCACCGGACAGGTGCAATGAGAAAATACTGCTGGTGTCACCTGTAGGGGATCGCAGAGTGAGAACAGAGCTCGGGTCATGTAGGCGGGTTTCCGGTAGGCAGCAGATAACGATGGAGAGAGTCTCTAATATTTGGGCACGTGCTGCCTGTTGACCGAGCTGAAACAATGTGCGTACATTAAGGCATACCAATCCGAAGGAGGATCAAGGGGTCCAAATGGAAGCCGATGAACTGAGCTGGACGCTAGGTTAGACATGAGCTAGGCGACAGGAGAGAAGTGACGCACCGTGTTTGCACGTGAGTTGAAACTAGAAGTTAGACGCCTAGCAAAGCATGTTAGCGGATGATCAAGAATCGGGGGGTTGAAAACAGGGGGGAGAAAAGTGGAGTTGGAACGGGACGATAAGGATGAAAAAGCGTAGGAGAGGGAATGAGTAGAAGGAAGGGCTTGAGCAGTAGCATCCAAAACACTATCAACCCTGCTCGATGCAACAGATAGGGCGCCGTTGATTATCCTCTGCGATGGTCAAAGCATCAAAAAGCTATTTGAAGAGATATTCATTGTCAGGTTGACCAGGCGTAGACAGGATAACGATTGAGGTTCTCAACCAGACTTTGGTTCAAAAACCTTGCCGCAAGGCAGCGCGTTTGGCGGTGGGCCACAAAAAATTCGTTTTAAGGAATGAGGAGCCCCCCACATTCTAACCCCCAACCTGGAGGTCCAGGAGACTGAGCTTGTTTAGCCTCTAACCATTGACCAATCTGGTATGAGTGGTTCTGAAGGTGCAAAAAAGCATTACCCAGCACAACTCAGTAGATCGCTGAGGCATGCAACTCATCGCACCACGGCAAAGTCTAGCCTCATTGCCACTCGCTCAAATACCGCTGAAAGAGATTACCCAGATTACATGCAACCATGTGACGAGTCAATTATAACTAGGTCTTCTAGATTCTAATTAAGAACGACTCCGACTTCTGTGTACTTCTGATGTAAAACTCTATATCCAGTAACGTGGGTATCGACATGTAGGTTGTGCCATAATTGGTAGTCTACTTGGATCAGTTTTAGCGTATATTTGAGTTCCCTACTTTGAAAATCAAGTTAAGGAGGAAAGTTACCAATCCGTGCTGTTCGACCGACAGATGGATGACTTCATACTCATTTGTGACCAAAAAGAGCAGCTAACTCGATCGAGCACCAAACCAAATCGATACATCAGAGTGACAACAGGTCGGGAGCAGGTTGATAGTATGCCCTTCCTTGACATACTGGTGGAACGTAGCTATGGGGGAGCAATAGATAGATGGGTTTACTGTAACCCGGAGGTCACCGGTTCAAATCAGCTAAGCGCGGGTGACATCTTGGTATTCCCAGTCCACACCCCATTGGTGGTGGTCATGTGGCAGCGAAGCATCAGCACGATGTGCCGACATACTGCTGATGCCCTATTTTTACGCTAATCTTACGTGGAAACCGCGGTAGTTGAGATTCCATAGTTTTTTATTTAAGCGTCACAAACATGGATTGTTGCAGATTCCGTTTTACTGGAGGAGAAAGATCTGTACCATAGACAGGTTACAAGAGGAGGTGCGGTTCCTCACCAATACCCTATTTGGAGACGGATATCCAGCTTCCTTAATCGCTCCATTCAGTAGGAAAACATAGACAGAGGAAGTGTTCACCATGTCAACGCCTAAGGTTATACTGCAGCTGTCGTTTAAGGGAGACGACTTGAGGCAATTATTTCAATGGCGCGGTGGAATGCGTGTGCCCTGCTGCGTAACCGATACTGCTATGTACAACCACGAATTTTCACTTTCTTGGTTAAGTCACTACTACCTCCGCCCAGCCGTTCACACATCCCTTTGGAGTTTAAATCTAACTACAGGGCAATCTACATCGGCACAACAGAGTACCGGTTGTGGCTGGGAATTGTGGAGCATATACCAATGTGAGTTAGGAAACGCTTATCGCACAAAACTGCACCCACCGTCCCGGGAGCACAAGCGGTCTACCGTACAGTATACCACCGCCATCAATCGCCCGTATTCTGATGACAGCCGAACACACTGTGGGGATCACACGCGTAGGTTCCGTGTGCTCTACGCGCCACGTAATACTCAGAGTCTGTGATAGGCTGAAGTGATAGCGATCGGAAAATTTGACAACTGTATGCGCATGCAGAATGGACGCAAATCGATCATATTGCGATCAGTTATCGCTGGAGAGGCTGTGCGTCGATTTGGAGCACATGTGTGGACACCGACCATGCACTTGTATGTGCTGACACGCGGGTGCGTTTTGTCGAACGCCCACGAAGAGGCTGTAGCGCATTGACACCAGTCAACTAACGAAGCCAGCTGTTCCGAATGCGTATCGAAATACACTGACATGTCGGTTGTGCAAGCACATCTTGGAGACAATTGAAGGTCAATGGGCGCATGCCAGAATAAAACCCTATCAAAACCGATTTGTATTCAAACCTTCTGAAAGCAATGGGCGCATGTTCACCAGACCTTACTAGCAGCAGATAAATCCTCAGACGGCAAGTCTAATAACCAACATGGACATTGGATCTCTTTGCGCTCTCTGGAAGTTATCGATGCTCCCCGGCATATTCCGGCTGGAAGCGAACACAATGAAACCAGCAAAGAGCTCCGGGCAAAACTCTGTGTTAGTCTGAAGAGAAACCGCGAACCCTGGTGGTCTCTTCGTGCATAAGAGATGGAAATGGCTGCTGCCCTTGGTAAATATCGAAAGTCATTCCGTCTGATAAGGAAAACGGGCAGCATGAGACCTGGTGTAAGTGAAACACTTTATGACGAGAGTGGACAGCATATCAACATGTCAAAATGTTTGAAGCGTTAGGCTGAGCATTTTGAAAAGCAACGCAATCGACCGGAATTGTCTGATTCCTCAACGGCCAGTGATCGCTCTGCTCCCTGGGCTGTCCCTTTGGATCCGCCCTATCGATCAGAAGTCGAAGGTGAGTTGGAATTAATGAAACTGAACAAAGCCGCGGGACCAGATGGTCTACATTCAGCCCTCATAAAATTCCGGGGCCCTGCTCATGTTGATGATTTACACGAATAACTAATGAAACTGTAGGAGCAGGAAACTGTCCCTACAGACTGGAGCCGCTACGTTATTGTTCCGATCTTCAAAGGAGGCTCACGATCGGAATGAGGCAACCATAGAGGAATCAGTTTGCTCCCCATCGCCTCCAAATTACTAGCCTCTGTAATCGTTCACAGACTGACTGGCGCTCATGGAAGCCAGATTCGTGAGGAGCAAGGCGGGTTTAGGCGGGGTCACGACTGTATCAACCACAGTATTAATTTGCATCAAGTGTTGGAGCACCGTCACACATAGTGGCGGCCCACCGTTGTAGTGTTCCTCGACATCAAAGATGCCTTCGATTCGGTTGATCGATGTGCGCTTTGGGACTCTCTACTCAGGAAATGCGTGCCAGAAATATGTAATTATACGTGCACCATACGCGCGTAACTCGGGCAGACTGAAGGCTTACGGCCAGCTGTCGTCACCCTTCAATATCTCCAGCGGTTTGAGACAAGGATGTTCGCTGTCACGTTTCGTCTTCAGCTTCGCTATTGACGAAGTCATGGAAATAGCATTCACAGGACACGACTAATAAGGGGTGGCACTACTCCCAGGAGATGTTGAGTTTCTCCCAGGAGAACGACTTCTTGACTTGGAGTTTGCAGACGACATTGCCCAAATCTGGGAAAACTACCAGACGTACCAAGTTGCACTGGACAGATTAGCACTGGCTGTCAGTCGCTTCGGGCTTTGCTTTGCACCAACGAAGTGCAAAGCTTTCCTCCAAGATTGGCAGAGATCGCCTCCTGCGCTGACCCTTGGTAGGGATAAGTTAGAAGTCGTGCAGAAATTCAACTACCTGGGGAGTTGTATTAGTGCCCTTGGGATCGAAGATGAGATCACGAACCGTACAGTAAAAGCTCGATACACCTTTGCTAGCCTTCGCCACCTATGGCGCCGGCGTGACATCACTCCCGCCATGAAGGGTATAGTGCACAGTGCAACGATACGTTCGACCCTACTGTACGGTTGCGAAATCTGACCCCTAAGATCAGCCGACATAGTGGCTAGTTACATTCGAGCATCGGTGCCTTCGCAGTTTGGCTTACATCTGGTGGGTACAACGCGTGAGCAACCAGCGTGTTCGACGCCTTGTTGACGGTACAAGAAAAGGAACTGAACAGCTGAGCACCGTCATTTCACGCACCAGGCTCCGATGGCTAGGCCACGTGCTACGCATGTCAGCCGACCGGTTTCCGCGACGTGCGTTGTTTGCTCGCCGGGGGTGGGGATGGAAGAAGAGGAGAGGTGGCCAAGCGATGACTTGGTCGAGAGGAACGAAGGCCCTCACTTTGAAGCTGGCCTCGGTTGGAGCGTCACGGCTCGCTGGTTGGGGTCCAAAAGACGATGAACATGTTTGGCTAGATACATTTGCTGAGATGGCTGGGAGCGGACCTCAGTGGCGTTCCTGTTGTGAGTTTCTTTTTCCCTCCCCATCCATTTTAGCCTCACCCTACAACCACGATCTCATAAGGTAGCATAATATAATTTTACATATTTTCTGTTGCTTAGTAACTGGCTAGTAGCTTTCCGGAATGATGCCCATCCTTTACTCGTAGCTCAGCGGGCATGCAACTGTTGCATTTTTTTCTTCTTTTTCGTTTACCTATTGTGACGCAGTAACTGAGGTGTTTTACATCACTAGCTAACGTGTATAATAATAATGATGATGACGATTTATGGAGCACGGTGCAACGATCAAACCGAAGTAGAAGCCGAAACTAGAAAACATTGCTCAGTACAACGTTCCAAAGACAAGAAGTGCATACAATGATGAGGCACGGTAATAAAGTTCTTACACGAGGTGGAGTATTGCATAAACAAGATTTACCTAATTTGAGAGCTGGAGTCAACCTGTTGCGTCCATTGATAGCAAGCTTGCGCCCTTTCTTACCGAGACCAGGACACAGTGCATGGTGGTGCACAAATGTCAAAGTGGCCGAGAAGACGAGCGTCTGCCTGTTTTGTTTGATTTGCTTGGGATTCGAAACGCTTGTGACCTTATCAGGATCAGACGCTGTATTAATCCAACTGCAAAGCTGTCTCAGCTCTTCAAAGTGGTTGGCTTCTACTAATTTATCCGCCTCGTCCACAACAAGAAATCCGCAAGAGGGAATGCTACATAAATGTGGTTCCTGCTGAAAAGGTAAAGGACAGTTGGATGGCAAACGGGGTTCACAAATGTGAACAAATGATGTGCAAGGTAGTGAACCAGTGAGAAAGGGAACGGAAGAGTAGACAATTGAATTACATTGTGAACGATTAATGAGAGAAGTATCAATGCGAAGAAACACATGTAAGAGTTACCTGTTGAATAAGTTGCCACAAGCGGCCGGGTGTTGCCACTATGATATCAGGCCGATAACGCAACAATCGCTGTTGTTTCTGTATTGATAAGCCACCAACAATAGCTTCGACGGTTGGGCGCGGCTGCATGAACTCAGCCAGGGAGCGTAGGTGAGCCCGCACCTGTGGGAAGGTTGGAGACAGAGAACCGCGTAATTATCTAAGGAGACGTTAAACGGTCTCACACTGATCATCATAGTACTCGGGACAAAGGCTACGTCCCAAACACAAAATTAGGCACCACCATGGGCATCAATCGCAATGAGTCAAAATACTCGCAGTACCTTTGCATGCCTTGAGAGTGCTACTCCGGTCCGAAAGGATAAGTTAGGGGTTATCGACTGGCACTCACAAAAAGTAGTTTAACACACGAGTGATGATGTAACACGCTTAATAAACCGACGTCAATGCTTGCCACGAGTAGTTCCCCCGCAAAATCATAGCAATGTCATGACGATGCAAAGATTTGCACACCACTTATCCAATGTGGCTGCCAAAAATCGTATAAACCGGGCAGTATGGTAAGATGAATCCATCATGGGTCTCATCACATTCACCTTAGGCTTGTCGAAGCAGTGTTGTCCAGGATGTTGGAACAAAGCAGTTACGGCAACAACATATAGCAGAACGGAGAGTTACATTAAATAATCATCGACGGCCATACGCCGTCGGTTACCAAAATGTATACAACCGGAGCCACTGCAAATTTGTGCCACGAAAATAGATGTTTGACGGAAATGAGCCAGACAATCACCCGTCAGATTATAAGTTGACAAAATTTAGGAAACGAAAACAGCGTACGGCGAAACGAAGACAATATATTGTATCTTAGAACACGCTTGCAGGCCACTCACCTGTAATGCCAGCTCACGTGTAGGAACTAGCACCAAACCGTAAACATGAGAATCTGGGGTTGGTGAGCATTTTGTAGATTGCTTAGGCGCATGGGAAACATTTTCTTTGCCAGGACTGTGCAAACCACTATGGCCCAAAAGTGACTGAACACTGAGCACTTCACCAGTTTCGATATCCAGTTCTTCAACTAAGGCCAAATTCAAATAAGGGTCCTTCGAAACTTTATCCCTTTCAGTCTTACGACGTTTCGTTAGGGTGTGTAATGATGGGGTAAACTCTGATCTGTCAGGTGCAACTGCGGAAAACACATGGGCGCCCGTAGCTATGGTCCGGAGGTTGTCATTTATCTGAAGCTGTTGAAAAAGATGAAGATGAATGAATTAACGGACAGAAGCTGAAGTACAAATGGAGAATAACAAAAGACGAGATGAGAACATATGGAACAGATTTTCGGCATGTGGGAGGTGCTGCCGCAGCGTCACTCGTGCCACAGTCCGACTATGGCTGTGTTTCTCAAATATAGGGTGCGCGTCCGGCTCAGAGGATGTCTCCGCTATAGGCTAAGACACAGCCATAAAGGTGCTCTTAAAAATACATGGACATTCTGTGTCCCGGATCGTGCCAAAATTCGAAATGGGTTACCCGAGGCTTTAACGATAACAACTGGTGTACACAATGTTTCCCGTTTCTCCATTTTATAGCCTTAACCGGATTATTCATCATGTAGTTATCATTAGAAGGTCCCACAATAGAGCATAAGAAAAGTAAATTATGCAAATGATATCACAAGACAGCACAGTCAATCCAAGAAAAACTCTTCACAGTGGCTACAACATTTGGGATGCATACACTTTAAGACGGGTAAATGCCACTGAATGATCTCTAAAAACACGCCAGTTCTTCTGCGTTTGATGAGGAGAAATTGAAAGCAGTTGGACAATTTAGTCAATCTCGCAGACGAATAAGCAGAAGTGATCGGTTAGCTGCTGAAATTAACGCAAAAGCTACGGAGAGAAATGATTCCAGAAAAAAAAACCTAGGTTTGGGAAAAGATTTGTGATGATCATAAAACCTATTGCGCAGGATCACATCGACAGCCGTCCTAAGAAAAAGAGCGGAAAATTGTTTCCTCCGCTCTGAGAATCTCAGTTATCCTCGGAGCCTTGACCACCGTTAGACATGTAGAGCTGTGTGTGTTGTGCTCGTAGTGGGGTAATGAACAAACGAGAGTTGGGTGGTTGTGACCAGAGCAGCTCATTAGATCAACAGAAAAGTAGCACAAATCATTACAATCATTATTATCAATACACGTTAGCCAAGGGAGAAAAATCGACTCAGTTAAGGCGCCGCAATTAAAATTAGATATGACATTAGGCATTAGAGACTATAATGCTAAGCTAAGCTAAGAGCCACATCACCAATCCGCATGAGTCATTGAACTGACCATGTGCTAGACCTGCTGCCTTTCGGGTGTACATTTAATCCAAGGCTTTAGCTCAGGACCCGTGTCGCTCTCCTTTCAAGTGTAAGCGCCTTGCCAGTATCCCAGTCCAAAGCTAATCCTCTTCGGAGGTTAGGAAGTGGTCGATGGCCCTCTTCCCATAAAACCTAGCCACGGGAGACAACAGGTCCATGGTTTATAAGCTCACCACTCAATTGGCGTACAGCACGAGCGCCGCGCATTGTCTTTGAAGGTGGAAGGGCACCTCCAGGGGCTCAATAGTCTGTTACTTCCCGCCTCAAACCAGGCAACCCCGGTCAAATGGGTGCAAACCCGCCAAAATCCTTCTGCCTCTGGCCACGGATGCAAAACACAAATGAACTGTTTCAGTACCTCAAAGGCAGCGTGTGACGGACCTCAAGCAGATCGCAAGCTGTCTCTGCAATTACATTTCCGAGCCAAATCTGCTCCCCACTAACATGTGGGTCAGAATATTCAGTCGAAGGTTCCGAGCGGACTCCCGCAAGCAAAAGTCTGAACCCCAAGCACCATCAGGCGCGCGATTTTCCACCGATGTAATCGTATGCCTGCGTGCAAAGCCCTCAACATCGGGTGCTAAAAGTGCGCACACTAGTGGACCGGAACTGGAGTGAACGCCCCGAGCGACGCACTGCACTGGCGGCGAAGGAAGTGGCGCGCTACAACACCGATATTGCGGCCATCAGTGAGACGGAGCACGTTAAAAAGGTAAGTTGCGTGAAGCAGGTGCTGGCAAAACGTGCTACTGGATGCGCAACGCCGTCGTAGCACCACGTGAATATAGGGTCAGGTTTGCACTATTTCACCACCAAAATCGCCAACTGGTGGGTGAACTAACTGACATCAGCGCGCGACTGATGACTGTTCGCCTAAGACTCGGGAATGGTAAGTATGCCACTTTTAGCAGCACGTAAGGTCCGACCATGTGTTATATAGATGACACGCGTGATCAATTCTACACTCAGCTATCCTCCGTGGTACGGTCTGTGCCGAGGAGCGACCGACTATTTTTGCTGAGTGATTTCAACGCGCGCGTTGGGCGTGATCCATCGGTGTGGGCAGTTGTCATGGGACCGCATGGCATTGATTCAGCGAATGCGAACGGTGGCAGGCTGCTCTCACTGTGTGCCACTCACGGTCTGACGATCACGAACACTCGGTTTGCACTGAGTGCGAGTGATATAGCAACCTGGACTCACCCACGGAGTTGTCACGCTCACCTGCTCGACTATGTCATCGTACGTCAGCGTGATATGCGTGAAGTGGGCATGACACGCGTTGAGCTGAGTGTGGCACTGATCACAAATTGGTGTGGACCGAACTGTACATATATTTTCGTAAATCCATGTATTGCACTACTACCGTGAATCGGCGTAAATTTAACATTCTCTCCCTCGGTACTGTGGTGAAACGAATTGAGCTGCAAAAGGCGATGGCTGCACGGCTGTGTGATGTGGAATGCATAGCCCCAGTATGCGACCTGTGACACCACATTCGCGACCAGATAACAGCTGTTGCCGAGTAGAACATCGGGGGCGCAAACTGTAAGCGGCCTGATTTTTTTGATGAGAACAATGCGACGATTGGCGCATTGGTGTTGGAGAAGAATGCAGCATTTCCTGCATATGTCGCAGACCCCAGTGATTTGGGGAATAAGAGTGAGTTGCGACGACAACGGACTCGAAGGCTATATCGCATTAAAAATGCATGACTAAATATATATATATATATATATATATATATATATATATATATATACGGTTGGCGGCATACGGTTTCGGATCTGCCTGTCACTGTGGCCAGCCACAGGACGCCTGCGCCTACATAGAGACCACGGATGGCTTGCGCTACATCACCCACAGATCCAACAACACACCCCATATCCAGTGTAAACCCGAAGGAATAAGACAGGGAGGCATGTGGATGGGAGCCACGTTTCATCAACGGAGGCGGCCCACACTCCTTCACAGGCAAACACAAGCACGCTGTATTTGGGGAATCAAGCGCACACACAAGGCGGTGGCTGGAAGGTAGTCCGCTCCACACTGAGTGCATGGAACCACTCTTTGATCTTAACACCGCCACAAGAAACGTGCGCCCCGTCCCCTCCAGCAACGACCAACTGTCTCCTAGAGCCAGTATGGACGAGGTAGTGGGTAATAGACAGGTAGGCACCTTGTCAACACGCACATCAAGCACAACCATACCGGGGATATCAAGCAACAGCCATTCTCTTGAGAGAAAGATAACAAAGAAAATAAATCGAGTAACGCATAAGGAAACGTGACAAAAGTTTTAAATTGAAGAGCATATGAAATAAGTTGTTTACAAACGAATCCGAGATAAGTTCACGAGGTCAGAAAGTATATTTTACGGAAATGCCGCAAACACGAAAATGTTATCAAAATTAACTACAATTAGCTTAAGCGACGTGTGCAAGTTTATAGAAGAGCGTGCAGGTAGACATTTATATGAGAAAGAAAAGCATTAGGATAAAATTGAAAACCCACCACTTGAAATAAAGAGACTTAGCATGCAAGCATGTGGTTAGTAAATCGAATGCAGCCTACCTACAAACGCTGCGCCCGTTCTGCCTACGTTCTCTGCAGGGCCCGTCGTCGCTTCGGTAGTGGTCCCAAGTGTCCTCGCTCATGGCTCACTAAGCCTGCCTGACTCAGGCATCCACGACCGCATGTGTTACAGCACCATGCGCTTGATATCAATGGAGTACAACCCATCGTTGCTTGCCGCTTCCGCACTTGTCGCTTCTTCTCTGCATGTATGAGGTCTTTCTCCCGCACTTCGGCAACTGCATTCGTGATCAGATCGCGCCATGCACGCTGATCAACCGCCTTCGATTCCCATGACCTGCAATCAAGATTAGAACGTGAGAGGCTCACTTTGATCATGTCCTGGTAACGTAACTTTGGTTTCCCCACATGCCGCTTCCCAATACTCCGCTGACCGTATAAGAGTTGTTTCGGTATCCGCGTTGAATTCATACGGCTCACATGATCGAGCCACCTCATGTGTCTCAGCAAAACTATGCAGTCCACTGCATACATTCCACTACGGTGCAACACTTCCGTGTCTGCAACTCTGTCGCCCCAACCGATGCGCAGAATACGTCGCAAACACTGCTTATGGAACCGCTCGAGATATCGCACATCTCGCCGGTATATCGTCCACGTTTCACTGCCGCATAGAAGAACGGACAGCACCATGGATTTGTACACCATCAGCTTCGTGCCAATGGTAAGTTGATGGTTGTTCCACACTCGGTACTCAAATTTCCCGAATGCCGCCGCTGCCTTCGACACGCGGATACGCAGCTCACTGTGTAGCTGCTGATGAGTCGAAATCACACTCCCAAGGTAGTAGAAATGGGAGGTGGTTTCCAATACTTCAGCACCAATGCTGATTCGCGGCAATATTGAAGATTGCACCTCCGGTGAAGGCTGAAAGAGACAGACAGTTTTGCTTGTGTTGATGGTGAGCCCGAATTTGGCCGCTGTCGAAGCCAGAACACTAGTCATATGCTGCAACTCATCCGCCCTGTATGAAAACAACGCAAAGTTGTCAGCAAACAGCAACATAAGGATAGTTGTCTCACAGACTAGAGTTCTCGCACCGAAACGACGGATGTTCAGCAACCCACCATCAATACGGTGCTCCACGTGAACACCGTAAGCAAAAGCGGCATCAAAAGCACAAGACATCATTGCATGAAGATATATATTAAACCGGGCAGGAGCCAAGGCACAGCCTTGCTTCACACCAGAGACAACTGCAAAGTCATCCGAGGTCTCTCCACTCAGCTGCACCCTCGCTCGCATACCATTGTGCAGACATTCAATTAAACTTACAAATTTA